CTGCTGGGCCTGGTGCTCACGTGCCGTGGCCTGGCCCCTGCCCAGGCAGCCCGAGGGAGTGCCGTTCYCTCTTAAAGACGCTCTAGTCTTGGTGGTGCGTCCCCACGGTCACAGGTCATAAAGTAAAAAGGAAAGGTGTCGTCCCCCTCTAGTGCCAGAGTTCCCTGACCGTCTTGTTTTTGGAGTGTGCCTCACTGTGTCACTCCTTCATGGACTTGTGGCAGCACACTCACACACACGCGTGTGCACTGCTCGCTCGACGGCCACAGCAGTCCCTCCTCCCGTCAGACCCTCACCCTCCGCCGAGGCTCTGTAGCCGTCCCCTGGGTGGACCTTACTTCTGCCGCGTCCCTCTGATCATCGAGCGTGCCAGGATGTCCGCGTTCACTTCTCGTGGACCGTCCACTCACTGGTCCCTGGTTGGGGTTGGGGTTAAAAGTGGGCCCTCCTCCATTTCCAGACGTTTAGATACGACCGGTTCCTGAAGGCCGACGGGTCGGGGAAGAGAGACTTCTTCAAGGACGGGAAGCGGCTGAAGCACCCCAGCGTGCCCTGGGGGGCGGGCCACAACCAGTGCCTGGGCAGGGGCTACRCCGTCAGCAGCATCAAGCAGTGAGTGGGGGTCCCCGGGGGCACCGAGCGCTCAGCCAGGCGGGGTGCAGTGAGGGCAGGCTGCAAGCTGACCGAGGGTCCTCTCCTGCCCACACATCTTCATGGATGTTTTTAAAGATGGAAAGAGCTCACAKAAAAGGCCAGATTTCTGACCTTTTGAAATAACCAGGTCTGGCAGCAGGAGTGTCCCTCCAGGAGGGGGTCTGAATGCCACCCGCTGGGCCCTGGGTCCAGCCGCCCGTAACTGGCCATCGCAGCTGCTGCTGTGCGTTCAGAACCCGGCCTCGCTTCAGCRTCCCCCTCTGGGGCCGAGAGCCTGGTGACTCTTGCCTGGACCCAGGTGCCTCCGTTCCCCTGGGATCACAACCGATAGGACCAGGGTCATGACGTTTCTCTGTCTGGCCCCTGTGCAGTCACGAGCTGGGGGACCTCGGAGCCTGTTAGAACCGTGAGCTGGTTAGAACCGTGTCCCGGGGGTCRCGACAACTGCAGGCTGTGCCGAATGGCCATTGTCACTGTACTTCGTCACTGCTGTCAGGGTGCAGGCTGGGGCCGGGGACGGCTCTGCACCTGAAGCCCTGGTCTCGGTTCTCCCCRTGGTGAATGGAGTTCAGGTGGCGCTCGCTCTGACGCTTCCTGGGCTCCAGTGACCCCACGTCCTCTCGCTGTGGCATCCTGCAGAACTGCCCAGGGCTYGTGGGACAGAAGCTGTTGGCGCCCAGCTGAGGCCTCCTCAGCGGCTCGGGAGAGGAGAGCCCAGTAAAGGCCAGTGACACGCAGGTTGCAAGATGGGGGGGGGGGGTCGGCGTGCGCTGGAGACGCGGCCGTCCGCGGGGGCCAAGGGTGTGAGCCTGGGGCTCTGCACACCAGGCTGGGCCGGCGGGTTTGCTCACCTGGAGTTTCACACCGTGCTGTCCTCGATTCTGCCCTCGAGGGGCTGTCGCTGATCGGGCCCATGGTTCCCAGCGAGCGCTGCAGCAGAGCTGGGCGGGGTCCTGCCTCGTCAGGTTTTCGGACAGGCTAAAAGGAGACGTGGGTCCTGAAGGCTGAGCACCACGTCTGGCCCCTCGAGGGTCGAAAGCCTCTCCGTCATCGTGGCCACCCTGCCAGGCAGGGGTCAGTCGGAGGTTCTCTGGATGGTCAGGTCATGGGCCGCTCTCGGRCATCTGGCGAGTGGAGATGCCAGGGTCCGGGTCCAGGCTGGGCCCTGAGCTTCGCCCCAGCGGACTCACCGCGGGCACCCTGCAGCCCAGGCAGAAGCGACCCTTCCCACAGATGGGGACCTCAGACCCCCACTGGAGACAAAACCTGGCCAGGGCCACATGCCGCAGGTGACAGAGCCCAGATCTCCTGTCCAGAGTGGCCTTCCCTCTTCCTCGTCCTCCTGAGTCTGCTCTGTCCTGCCTTAGGTCCCGGCCACAGTTAGTGTGAGTGGTCAGGCAGGTAAGCAGGGCCTGTCAGCCCCGTGACTGCGTTATTGGGGACACTGATGTCGTCCTAGGCGTGGTAGCTTTGCGTAGTCCCTGGACAGTGTCCTAGAAGGTGGCAGCAGGGAGCGCCCGTCTGGGTATTCGAGGTCAGTTTTCTTACCTGTGGCAATACTGTCTGGGGAGGGCAGTGCCTGCTTCTCTGTCACCGAGACACAGGTGGGACCGACAGTAACATCCCAGGAGTGGCAGGGGTGTGGGCAGGAGAGGAGGGGCCCGCCAAGCCCCAGGGCTTAGAGCCCCACAGGCTGGGCCTGGGCTCCTCCCCGCTGCAGTGCCCCATCTCCACAGGAAGCCTGCACAGCCACCGGGCGGGCRGCAGGGAAGGGTGGAGTCAGGCGTGGCTCAGAAGTGCCTTGGCGTGGCAGTGACACTGGCCACCTCTGCTTAACCCCGGTCACCAGAGCCCGTCCTCGGGCCTCGGCTCAGCAGGGGCCGGCAGACCAGAGGTGCTGGCCACCTTCAGCTCCGTCTCTCTGCAGGTTCGTGGTCCTGGTGCTGACGCACTGCGACCTGGAGCTGATCCGCGCGGACGTGGAGGTCCCCGAGTTCGACCTCAGCAGGTACGGCTTCGGCCTGATGCAGCCGGAACTCGACGTGCCCGTGCGATTCCGCGTCCGGCCCTGACCTGCGCCCATCTCAGCCACCCTGCCGGCTCTGCCTTCCTGCACCGCATCGCCCTCTCCTGCTGCTCCAGAGGCTCTGTCCACTCAGGGGACGAGGGGCGGGAGCTGCGAAGGACGCAGCAGGAAAGACCGCAGAGGCTCGGACCGCTGCAGACTTCAAGCCGCAGCCGGACTCCTCCTCCCCGGCTCGCCTTGCTCCTGTCACCTGGTGATGTCCCCTGAAGCTAATCCAGACAGGGCAGGGCCATGAGTCCTGCTGCYAGGCCCCCAGCTCCACGGTGGTCCCTGTCCCAGCCCTTGACAACTAGTGTGGTCCAGGCGAAGCCGGTCAAAGCAGATGCTGGCCTGGAGAGGCCCCTTGGACCCAGCAGTGTGTCCACAGTGCAGCTCTGTCCCGATTGCTAAGGCGTCCCTCAGGACCCCTCCCTCCCTGGGTGCCCCACTCACTGGACAGAGTCCCCCCACCGTCCACGGGACACCTGAGAGACAGAAGGATCTCCGAGGAGCTGACAGCCGGGTGTGGTCCCTAGGCCCCGCGGAGCGCTGGGCTCTGGGAGAGTCCTCTGATGTGGGCTTCCCTGCCTGGCGCGGGGACCAGGAGACAGGCCCCAGGTGGCTGAGGAGAGGCTGAGCTCCTGAGCAGGCCCCCTGCCGCTGCACCGTCCACCGCAGGCGGTTTCCCTGGCTGACACTTCAGAGAACCTGGACTTGGTTTTAGCCTGAATCCCTCCGTCTGCGGGAGAGGCTGTCTGACGTCCAGCTCTCCTGACAACCGGGCGCTCTGGCCACACAAGGCGCTCCGCAGGGCATGGCGCAGGAGCCCAGTGCTGCCCTCTGCCTGGCCGCGCCTGGGCTTTGCTCCCCCAGCGTCGGGCTCCGTCGGCTCTGCCTCTCGGTACCTTCTGGCCCCAAGGGCACCTGAGTCTGAGGCCGTCTGGCGAGTCTGAGGCCGTCTGGCTCTTAGTCGTCATGGAGCTGGTGGGAACCAGCCGATGACCTGCCTGCCCCAGCCTTTGAACAAGCAGGTCGGTGAGGAGACCAACCTTTGCCTCAGTTTTAAGGAAAAACGACGTCAGAAAAACAGCCTGCGAACCCTGATGGTGGCCGCAGGTGTTATCGACAGCAGGTTCTGCTTATCGGATGCCCCTGGAGTGCTGTGGCGGGCGAGCAGACATGGGTTTCTATTCCTTACAATGTCTCTGTGAAGAGAGGACAGTGATGCCCTCTTTGTACATGGGAAAGCAGGCTCAGAGAGGTGCAGTGGGTTTCCTGGGGTCACACAGCTCATCAGCTGGTCGAACTGGGACCACACTTCTTGTTCTGGGGGAGCAAATGGTGGATGGGCTCATGTTCCTCGGGGTCCAGGGCTGGTGGGGTGCCATTCTGTCTGGCCTYGGAGTGCCCAGAGCCAGAGGCTTGAGTGTGCATTCATACCCTGAGCCGTAGACGCAGACACAGAGCTAGTCCTCTGGCTTTAGGTGGACAGGAGAGGCCCCAGGGGTCTGTCCCTTCCTGGAGCAGTGCGGGGTGTGGGGCTTCCCCAGCCCTGTGTTGCCAGGCAGCCCCGGATTCCCAGACAGACGGTGTGATTGGCAGGAGGCTGGATATCCCCGGGGAGACCC